TTTTTTTGAGACAGAGTTTTGTTCTTGTCACCCAGGATGGGGTGCAATGGCACAATTTCAGCTCACCGCAACCTCCGCCTCTGGGGTTCAAGCAATTCTCCTGACTCAGTTTCCTGAGTAGCTGGGATTACAGGCGCCTGCCCCCAGGCCCAGCTATATTTTTAGTAGAGACGGGGTTTTACCATGTTGGACAGGCTGATCTTGAACTCCTGATCTCAGGTGATCTACCCGCCTCAGTTTCCCAAAGTGCTGGAATTATAGGTGTGAACCACTTTGCCCGGCCCAACAATTCTTTAAGATAGGCAGCACTGTTACCTCATTTTATAGCCTGATGATTTTTGCATATGGAAATTATGAAATTTCTCCAACGATCCTGAGCTAGCAGTGCCAGACCAGAGATCTGAGAATTCAAAGCCAGCTTGCCTGAATCTGACTGTTACTATTCTGATTAAGGAATCTTGGGCCTGTTGAGATTCAACTATCACCTAATTTGGAAAAGACACCTTTGTCCCCCCTTCCCTTAGCTTCTTTCTTCAACAAAGAATGAAACATCTAGAGACTATTTAAAACAGAGTAGATAAAAAGCTAAGCTACTAGCTTCCTTGTATCTACAAAAGTGTTCAAATAGGCTTTTCAAGAAGGAGTGAGTTAAATGTGAGAGTTGATGGGACCTTAAACATGGCCAGGTTTAAAGACAAATAGAAAGAACAAAATCAATTATTGGGTACAGAAGCAACATACCTGTGCTCAAGATAAATTAAAGTGACAAGGGATAGTAGAAGGTAGATGAAGTTTGAGTTGAGGTACAGGTGGACTAAAAAAGTAGTGTAGAAAGATGAACAGATAAAAGAAAAAGGCAGGTGGGTGAAGACAACTGTAATATTGAAGCCGAAAACAGTGAGTTAGTGGGTGTGAGGGTTACATTCATCTAGGAGGAATTGGACTAAGGGAGAAAGGTGTTAATACGTCATCTTTTAATCCCCAATAGAATCTGGATTTTAACTCGTTATGACTTGGCTTCCATTATTTGACGCAGCAAGCCACCTAAGAGCGGGTTCTCTACTCCTGCATCTATCATTTTAAACTTCCTAAGAAATTATTTTCTGACTTCATTACTTGACAGGTGTACTAGTTTCCTATTGCTTCGGTACCACAAAGTTGGTGACTTAAAACAGCTTAAATTTATTGTTTCTTAGTTCTGGAAACCAGAAGTCCAAGATCAAGGTGTTGGCAGAGCTGATTTCTTCCGGAGACTCAGAAGGAGAATCTGTTCCAGGCCTCTCTCTCAGCCTCCAGTGGCTGTAGATGTTCTTTGGTACTCCTTCGCTTGCAGAGGTGTCGCTCCAGTCTCTGACTCTATCTTCACATGCCCTTCCCTCATTGTGTCTGTATGTCTTTACATATACCCACGTGGTAGTATTCCTGTGTTTCTGTGTCTGTATCCAAATTTTTCTCTTCTTAGAAGGACACTAGTCATATTAAATTAAGGCACTATTCAATGACCTCATATTAATTTGATTAAATCTGCAAAAACTCTTTGTCCAAAGCAGGTCACCTGTGCAGGTACTGGGGGTTTAGGATTTCAACATATGTTTTTTGGTCAGACACGATTTGACTTCTGACAGTGGAGTGAGATCTGATGTTTCACTACATGCTAGATTTTCACATTTTACATCTGAGAAAACCAAGTTTTAGGATATTCAAACATCAGGTTTTACTGGCATGATTTAATCCCAGGCCCAAGTTCTAATGAAATTTTCTTATTCTACCATTCCAGGAAACTTCTTTTTAACTAATGCTCATGGGGTCCCATAAAAGGCCATAATAAAAGATGTGGTTTAGGGAATGGGGCTAAGGAAGGTGAGGGTTGGGGTAACAATTATTTCTATTTGTATCAATGGCACTTTATATCACCTAGTACTGAGTAGATGCCCAATACCTGTTACATCAATGCAGAAAATTTCACAAAGCACCAAGGACACTGATAGCAATGCAGGACTGCTTTTGAGAATTCAAATATCTCACCAATAATTTTCACACTCTCCTCCTGGTACACCGTATAGCACACTTATCTGAAAATTGGCTTCTAGATTCAATTTCTCACTAGAGGTCTGCCTTCACTTCACCACTTAATAGAAAGCTCTACAGGATGCCTTACTTTCTCTTCTAACGCACTAGTCTTTAGAACAGAGGCTACAGCACAAAAGAGATCTGGTGTCAAACCCCAGCCCCTTTCCTTGCTGGCTTTGTGATCTTGGGTAACTTATATTAATCTTGCTTAACCTCATCTTCATCTATAAAGTAAAGAAAAAGATAGCCACTGTGAGGATTAAATGAACAAATCTATGTAAAGTGTTATAGAATAAAACCTGGTAAACAGATTGTGGTATGTTATCATCATAAGTATTCCATGTACTAGGTTTGACACATTGTATGTGATTTTACATAAAAAGTTCATAACACTTTTTGAGGTAAGTGCTACATTTTTCCTCATTTTGCAGACAGGAACTGACACAGAAGGACTGAGGACCTAGGTTAAACATTCATGGCTTCAGAGGGGTAGTGAAAGGGATGGGACAGGTTGGGCTTAGGCCTGTCTGATTCTAAAGGCTTGTTTTTTAATCTCCTTGTCTTGATATATTGCATTATTTTAGGGAGCACAAAGAAATGTGCTTTGGTTTAACAGAAGACAGAAAGCAGTCTGAATTTAACTTCACAGTGTTTGTTTAGATATTGACTTCTTACTACAAGTACAATAAAAACTAATAAATAGGCAAGTAAACCAACCAACCAACCTGCTTTTTCTTAGTGGGAAGTGAACATGGCTAGGAACCATCTGTATCTTTCTCCCACCTGAGCTCAATCCCTTCCCTATGACACTGTCAGGACTCTCATGGCCCCTCCTGGGTAAAACAGTAGCCCTTTGGGTAACCACCAGCCTGCAATGACAGCAAAGTTTCAAATGGGGTACTGACTAATTTCAGTTACAAGGAGATTTTAAGCATTTCACCAAAGCACAATATACATAAAGTGACCAAAACAAGTGGGAAAAGTAGGGTGAAGAATCACTGGTGAGTGAGTTACTGGATATAACACAGGAATATATAGGAACAGTTATCTAAATCCAGGAGGTTGACAAGCCAGATTAGCAGGTGTTGATAAAGAGGAGGAGCTGCAGAAACAAGGAGGGATCCCTGGGGGAATGGCTTTGATTTAGCTCCCCTGAGGTCCCTCTACAGCTCATAAAGTAGCAGACCTCAGAGTTTAAAATCAGATACCAATGGGTCAAAGGCATTCCCAGGAACCCCAGTTGCAATAGCCACCTGCTATGGTCTAAATTTCCCCCAAAATGTATGTGTTAGAAACTTATCCCCAATGCAATGGCACTGGGAGTTGGGTTCTAATAGGAAATGTTTAGGTCATGAGGCCTCCTTCCTCATGAATGGATATTGCTATTGTAGAAAGTGTTCATAGGAGTGAGTTCACTCTCTTCTACTCTTCTGCTGTATAAAGATATTTTAGTCTCTGCCCTTTTACTTGCCACGTGAGCATGCAGCAAGGAGGTTCTCACCAGACACCAGACACCACAGACACTGGACTTTCTAGACTCCACAACTACAATTAGTTTTTATTGTACTTGTGGTAAGAAGTCAGTATTTTTTTTTAAATCTCTTTTTTTAAATAAAGTTATGCAGTCTCTGGTAGTCGGTTATGGCAGCCCAAAACGAGCTATGACAACCGCTCTTCCCTACTCACTTGTCTGATCACCTCAGAAGGACAATCAACATGAGCCCAGATGAATTCACATGCTGCAAAACATAAACACTACCTATTGATATAGAAAGCGTGAGCCTACCTGCCTGTAAGAAGTTAAAGCATTTTAGTCTGCCCTACAACCAGAATTCAATTATTATAGGAAGACCTATGGTGAAAGAAAAAAGAAGAGTTAAGTAATGAATGGGTGTCAGAAGAGTACATTGGTGAACTTGGTTTCGATTATCCCAAGCATTAAGAAAGGTAGGGCTCCAAATTTTGTAAAAACTAGTTTATTGCACATTTTAATAGAGGAGGAGATAAAGGCTGTAAATTTTCTGCATACTTGGTACTATTTACTTAAGAAAACTTGCGTCAGTTTGCTGAAAATGATGGCTTCCAGGTTCATCCATGTCTCTACAAAGGACACAAACTCATCGTTTTTGATGGCTGCATAATATTCCATGGTGTATATGTACCACATTTTCCCTGTTCAGTCTATCATTGATGACACAGGAGCAGAAAATCAAACACCACATGTTCTCACTCATAGGCTGGTGTTGAACAATGAGAACACATGGACACAGGGAGGGGAGCACTAAACACTGGGGTCTGTTGGGGGGAAATGGGGGAGGGATGGGGGTGGGGAGGTGGGGAGACATAGAAAGGGGAGAAATGCCAGATATAGGTGAAGGGGAGGAAGGCAGCAAATCACACTGCCATGTGTATGCCTACGCAACAATCTTGCACGTTCTTCACATGTACCCCAAAACCTAAAATGCAATTTAAAAAAAAAGAAAACTTGAAATATAATTTTGTTTATAAGTGGATGATTTAGTCAGAAAAAATGTTGAAAGAGGCTCTTTGATCTGCTTTGTCAGATTAAGGAGTTTGGTAAATCAGATGACTAAACAACCCACATCTTTAAAACCTCAATTATAATTTTAGACTGCTATAACAGAGATGTAGATTCACCAAACCTGATGTAAAAAGACAACATATATTTCAATTCTGCTGATTGGTTTCAGAAAGTAAAGCCACTCAGGAGAAAGCTGGACATGTGGATTGAACAGATGGTGACTTGAGACTATAATCAATCCCCATTGCTAAAGTACCCTGAAGTCAATGGAATCGCAGCTGTCAAAGAATTGTAGAGCCATTCAGTGGAAATGTAAACCTAATTTCAGAAACAATTCATAGGTTTGATGGACATGAATCACACCTTATGTTTTTGTGACTGCCTTTAGGTTCTAACTCTGTGGGTATGTCTCAGTCATTCAGCATCTGCTCCATCTTTGAGACTGAGTTTCCAGGAGACCTAATTCAACCAGAAGCAAAAGACAGTTGCCAAGAAGATAGCAAAGCATAAGAATTCGGGAAATGGATAAAAAATCCCAGAGACATCCAACAATTAGTAACTATGTGAACAGATTCTAAAATATTGGGTCTATTAGGCTTTGTGGGAAGGTATTCCCTTTGGAAATGACTGAAATGGAGACTTTGAACCACTTTCAATGATATAAGCTTGAGGTTAACATAGAGATGGTGCTTCACAGAATACACCACTTTTCAGTAATTGTATTCTTATTGAATTGTTCAAAATTGGTCAGTGACTAATATTAGGACTCTAAGAACAAAATTCATTAGGATTATTTAGCCTATTTTTGCATTGCTACTGCAAAATCCAGTAGTTTACATAGCTAGCTGAATACTTGATGTTAAAGGTCAAAATTCCATGAAGATTTTAGATCAAGACAGCTACCACTGAGAAAAAACAATGCAGATTTGTGGTAAAGTCTCATAAATTTGTTGAACTGACAAAGCTCTGGACCATGACTGGTGAAGAACTTCTAATGCTGACTTCCATCTGAGCTTTCTCATTGCCAACTATCGAGAATGTCTGGATTATCCAGATGTTGCAACACAGTTGTGTTTGTTTTTGGCTTCACCACTCCCTCTGAGCTGTGATTCTGTTTTTTCTTATTGTTGATGTTCTTTGTTTTTAATATGAGCAAGACCTTGTGTTTTATACTTTAATTTTAGTTTCCTTAATCATAAACTAGACAAAAGAAAATTGGCTTGGTTTCCTAGGAAGTTCAAAGCAAAAATCCCTTAGAAACCATTATCAGAATCGTAGACCATCACTGTGAGCTGTGGCCAGGTGTTGTCATGAAAGTGTGACATCCTAGAGTAGAAAAGTAACCTGGGTTTCAGAGACTGTTTCACCGCTTTATCAGAAATGTTGTTTTAGCTGCTATGGCTCCAACAAGGTGAACGTAGCATTATATTTAATCTAAATATATTTATTCTTTTGTTTCTAAGTTGTGAAAAGCCAATGACCACATTTCATTTCTAGCCTTTCATGAGGTATAAATTACACAAAAAAGAGATATTTACAATGTCAAATGCTGACGAGTGTTGGGAGTCAGAAGTGATTACTCAGAATCAGTTTTAATGACAAGTCAGAAATTAGACGAAGAGATGAAATGCTAAGCCCCCAAAGGCTTCTGAAAGGTTAAATAACCATCTTGCGTCAGTTTGTACCTTTTTGAGAGGGTCCAGGATGCATAATTAAGAAATAAATTAATAAAAATCACTTTTGAAAATCAACATAAGACATGGCAGAAAATGGAAGAAAAGAGAAGCAAGGGATGCCTTCTAACAGACATTAAGAACAAGCCAAAATACAGGATTTGCTTAAAGGTTTTGCTGCTCATTGTGTCAAAACTGTCACAGATCTTAATTTTTTTTTTTTTTTTTTTTTTGAGACAGAGTCTCACTCTGTCGCCAGGCGCTAGGCTGGAGTGCAGTTGCACAATCTCGGCTTACTGCAACCTCTGCTTCCCGGGTTCAAGCAATTCTCCTGCCTCAGCCTCCTGAGCAGCTGGGACTACAGCTGCATGCCACCACGTCCAGCTAATTTTTGTATTTTTAGTAGAGACAGGGTTTCACCATGTTGACCAGGATGGTCTCGATCTCTTGACCTCATGATCCGCCCGCCTCAGCCTCCCAAAGTGCTGGGATTACAGGCTTGAGCCACCGTGCCCGGCCTTCAATTTTTTTGAATGAGGAAAGTGAATAAGGCAGATAGATAAGTAGAAAAAGTTGCATGAAACTAAGTAGTATTGAAAATAAACAGTTGTACTTCTCTGTGACTGCAGTTAAACTGATTAAAATCTCAGTGTTCTAGTGGAAGAGTAGATATAAATCTCTTGTAGTTGTTCAATTGTCTTTTGAGTGGACAAAAATTTTCACATAACATGTTTATTTGATCATGATTTTTCTTTTCTTGGACTGTCAAGATCAGTATACACTTTGCCTCTTACCTCTACAAAAATGTAGAGAATCTCGTGGTGTGAAGTGTATGTGATCTATAAAGTCCATGACGAAGGAACCCTGTCTGTCGTTTGTTACACAGTACTACATGCAATAGAACCTGACACAGTGGAATCTCAAAAAGCATATGTCAAATGAATGAATAAAGAATCAACTGACTTTATTCTATTTTTTCTAATGTGTTATCCTTTTCTTCTGTTTTTCTACTTATTTGTATTTTATCTTATTTGTTTTATATGTAATTATGAAATCCACCTCAAAGCAAAAGGACATGGAAGGAAATTTCAGATTTCAGGTAGCTATAAACAACACTCCCAAGAACCACTGAGGGCGAGATGCAGATAAAGTCTGGGATAGAATATGACTTCAGGTTTATAATCAAATAGACTTGCTTATATTTTACCCCAAAATGCCACAGGCTTCCCTGGGAAGGACTGAGCTCATCCTTTTTAATTACCTCTCACATGTTCACCTCTTGATAAATGACATCTCTTCTGCTGGGGTGTAATGACGAATTTTATGTGTCAACTTGACCAGGATAAGGGATGCCCAGAAAGCTGATGAAACATTATTTTGGGGTACATCTGTGCAGATGTTTCTGGAAAATATTAGCATTTGAATCAGTAGACTGAGTAAAAAAAGATCACCGTCCGCAATGTGGGTGGGCATCATTCAATTTCCCGAGAACCTAAATATCGTAAATTCACTCTCTCTGAGCTGGCATATCTATCTTCTCCTGCCTTTGCACCTCAGTGCTTTTGGTTCTTGGTCCTTCAGACTCAGACTGAATTATACCACTGGCGCTCCTGTTTCTGCAACTTTCTGATAGCAGATCATGGGAATTCTTAGCCTTCATAATCTTGCAAGTCAATTCCTATAATAAATCTTCTCTTATAGTTATATTTAATAAAATACTTTTTTATAGATAAATGCAGAGTACTAATAACAAAAAGGAGTCAGGTTGGTGGGAGCAGAGGAAAGCAAAAAGAAAAAGTAGATAAGATATAAATCTGCCTTTTCCATGGGCCAGGACACAGAGCCCTCCTGCACAGGTAACTCATAATCATCCTGCACCCAACTTATCACCAGACCCTTGGCTGATAGAAAAATACAAGTTAGCCCACTGTAACCTTGATGTTATCAGTACTGCATGAAGCCCTTTCCAGCACAAGCAACATTCTACAAAATTCCCAGCAAGCCTTTGTCTTTTTGCAATCAGCTCCTCTCTTTTCTCTCTTGCTGGTCTGACCCTTGCATCCTTGCAATGTATTTTCTATATTTTTAAAATTTTTATTTTTGAGATGGAATCTTGGTCTACAGACTGGAGTGCAATGGCATGATCTTGGCTCACTGCAACCTCCACCTTCTGGGTTCAAGCGATTCTCCTACCTCAGCCTCCCAAGTAACTGGACTTACAGGTGCCCACCGTGGCTGGCCAATTTGTTGTTGTTATTCTTGTGGTTGCTGTTGTTGTTTTAGTGGATTTGAGGTTTCGCCATGCTGACCAGACTGGCCTCAAACTCCTGACCTCAGGTGATCCAACCGCCTTGGTCTCCCAAAATGCCAGGATCATAGGTGTGAGCCATCATGCCTGGCCCTTGTGATGTATTTTCATAATTCCCCCCCCTCCCCAAAAAATCTTCCTTTCTTTACCTACAACTATCTTGGTAATTTCCTTTACTGCCCATGCTACTAGATCCAGTTCGTTGCTATCCATGATGTTATATTTTTAAGAGAAAGCTATGTTTCTCCGGAGAAGCTTAAAGAACATTCTTTTTCTCTGGAGAACCCTGATGACTATATCTGGGAAGCAGTGAGAGTTAAGAGAGGTCAACACTCTTGGTCTAGTATAAGTCCCTTCTTTTGGAAACCAAACATTTCAGGGGAGTGAAAATTCTTCCAAAACAGGTATACAGAAAGAAATGGAGGAAGACAGGAGGAAAGAGAAAACCTTCCAGAAAATAAAAATATAAAATCAAGTAATGTTTGATTATTCCATCAAGGTAGCTAGCATAGATGACAAGCTTCTGTCGCTTCTCTCATTCCATTTCAGCAAGTGCTTTCTTTCCCACACTGACTTTGGGTTTCTGTTCCAGTGTCTTTATATTCTTTCCTTCTTCCTGGCACAAGTGACATTTAAAAATTATGGCAAAAACTGACAAAGATAGCAAGTCTATCATTTGCAGTTCAAACATCCATTATCCCAATATAGATATAATTAGTAAATAACTTCCAGGCCATCAGGTTGAAAGAAAATCTATGGCTATCACTGGGAATCTATTCTTGTGCACAAGCAAATTCTGAAACCTTTTTTTTTTCTTTCAGATGCTTAAGGTGAGGAGAGAAGCTGGTAACGTAGAATTACTTCAATTCATTCACCAGCTATTCACTGACTTTTTGCCATGTATAAATCCTGATTGACCTCAAAAAGAATAATATTAAGTTTGATTGTTACACATTTTTTAAAAAAGATATCCAAGATACAACTATCAAAAGATGGCCCAGAATCAACTGTCAAATGAGCTATATGGCCCATATCTGATGACAGAGTAGGGAATGTAAAAAGCTACTTTCTTGTGCAAAAATTATACCTGGCACAAAGAAAAGATAAGCAGGAGTACTGGAATTTATGGGACATTAAAAAGAGTTCATTATTTTCTGAAGTCTAAAAGTTTTTTTTTTTTTTTTTTTTTTTTTTTTTTTTTTTTTTTTCTGAAAGATAAAAGAAAGTGAACGTGTAAGGGTTCATCAAGAACCTGAGCAAACATTCAACAGGTGGTATTCCTTGTAGAGTTCAAAGTCCCTAAGACTAAGTTTTTCCTAAGTAGTAAGAGGAGAAAATAAGAATTTAGTCTAACAAAGAATAAAGATAGCTGCAAGTTATGAATAAACATACCAGAGGATACAAGAGTATTATGCTTCTTTAAATTTTGCTTCCGAAGTTTTCATTTTTCTGAAAATATAAATGAAGTTCAATCAAATTAATATTTTTAGAATTTTTATAAGATATTATTTTTCTTTTTAAAAGCTGATATTGAGTACTGAATTCTCTGAGATCTAGCAGTCCACATCTGGAAATTAGTTACTACTTAAAGCAAGAACTAATGGCTCCTCAGAGAAAATGCAGACGATAATGTCAACTGACCTTTAGAGGGTTTACTACAAATCGAATCTAGTTAATGAAGAGATACTAGATGTCACTCCAGGAAGCCCTTGTTTTTAAAGGTTATATACAGGTATTTAAAAGACTTTTATTTGGAGACACTCATGCCTGGATTGCTTTTCCAAATGACAAATGGGTCTTCATTAATCTTCAGGCATAGTTCTGTATTTCCAAATCCTTCTTTCTCTCTCTCTTTCTCCCTTCTTTCCCTCCCTCCTTCCTTCCTTTCTTTCTTTCTTTCGTTGAAAAAAATATCAATTAGGTACTGGGTATTTTCAAATCTTAAACAGGGTTATTTACCATCTCCGGTGCCAAGCAAGCTGTGAGCTCCTTGTGTGCCCATTGTACCCAGCAGCAGACACAACGTCTGGCGTAGAAGTAGGTGACCCAGAAATGTGTGTTGCTTTGAATTGATTCTCTCTTTCAGTACAAATGATGTTTAGAAAATGTTCTCAGCCCAGGATGAGGCTGACAATAATAAAAACGCATCTGACATTTTTGTAGCGTATAATA